GCGTTCCTCAATGTGACCACTTATCTACAATTCTTTTTAATATTTTTATTAATGACCTCCCTAATGTCATAACCAATACTAATATCCTAATGTTTRCTGACGATGCTAAATTAATTAAAATAATTAAAATTGAACAAGATGCGATTGATTTATAATCTGACATCAATAACTAACTTTCATGGTGTAATAGGAATCACTTATCTTTGAACGTTGATAAATGTAAATTTATGCACTTTTATTTAATACAGAATCCAATTAACTTTAATTATTCTATTTCCGCTTTAAATATTGAGCTTGTATCTTAATTTAAGGATTTAGGCATTATTTTTGACTCTAAATTAAATTTTCCTCACACACTGAAATGATAAAGAATAAGGCTATGCGTAACTTGGGCTTTATTAAGCGCAAATGTGGCTCATTCATAGATCCTATTCACTTGAAAATTCTATATTGCTCCCTTGTTCCCTCCCATCTAGAATACTGCCCTCTTATTTGGATAAATAATACCTCAAAACAAAATTCTTCCCTAGAATCTGTTCAAAATAATTTTCTACGTTTCATTTCCTTTAAATTTAATATATACAGGCCTCCCTACGGTTCTTATAATAACGTATTGCATTTTTTATATCTTTTACCACTTAATGAACGTCGAATACTTCTACTTTCCAAATTTCTTAATAAATTATTATTAGGCGTTATTGATTGTCCGGAATTGTTATCATTGATTAATTTAAAAATAAATAACCTTAATACCAGAGATCCGAAACCATTTTACCCTCAATTTTCAAATAAAAATTATATTTTTAATTTCCCCGCTAATCTCCTCATGGTAGCTGGTAACACTTACCCCTTTGATTTTATATAACTTATTGTCCATTATCTTTATTATATACCTTATCGCACTTTATAGTTTTCTTATTATATTCATTTAAAAGCTATTAGTTTTATGTATAATTTTTGTTATAATGTTTTTTTCTTGTTTACTAATTTGTTAATATCTTATATTCTTATGTACACATATTCAAAATTGTAATAGGACTTACGTCCGTATATTTGAATAAATATGTAAATAATGCTTAAAGTCCGCATTTTTATGAAATTTACATCTAGGTAATTCGGAACATCATATGATGATGTTTAGATGTTTTTCTTAAGCCCTCAAGCACTAACGCAGGGCGGTGATGGTAAACTCTCCCGGATTAACATTATGTTTAGATAATTATATACCTTGCATATTTATAATAAGTAAATCAATTACATGATACAAGACATAATATTATAACTTAAAAGTAAGCAAGTCTATATGTTAAATATTCAACTAGACAAGACAGTAGTACAAACATTTTTTGTTAAGGAAATTTTATGGTGGGGTAAATCAACAGACTACGCTGAACTCTAGTGGTGAATGCCATGAATTACTATCGTAGGGCTGTCGTGCTGTGGTCCATAGACAATAGGCATTTAATACTTACCTACTTATTATAATTTATTTTATAATGTTCCAAATATATTTATATCGTGCATAAGCACTAGGGCTGACGGTATTTTCGGTATACCGGTATTTCGGTATACCAGTCTTTTGAAATTATTTCCTAAACGGTATACCGTAAAAAAACCGAATAAATGATATAGGTACCATAAAAACCGTGTAGTTGTGYTGGTAATGCAATAACTGATCACCGATCCTCATTATGTCCAGAACATGCTGAAAAGTTAATTGTTCTATCTATGAATGCCAAGTTTATATTTCTTAATGACTTATTCACTRTRGCATAATATAGTGTACCTAGTACCTACCCAAATTACTGTTACGTTTTTTAATTATTATTCTTTTGCAAGACGCGACATTATTATATTAATTTCTTTTTCTTTTTTTATTTAATTTCTGAATAAAATACAAGTTTATGATTATAATAAATATATAAATACCTATAAATATTTCTTAAAGTTATCTTATTAACATGATTTACCGTGAACTTTTTACATACCTACACTTTAAACAGTACACATTTTTTTTATGTTCTGTACGTTAGTATTTTTTGAATTATGAAACTACATGAAATAATTATTAGACATTAGTACAAGTTCTAGTGCTTGCTGTTTTCTAGTATCAATGGTAATAGTGTAGGTTATATAGTATATAATAAACTATAAAGTAGGTACCTATATACTGTGAAACAATATTAAAGTAAAAAATGTATTATTTCGGTATACTGTAGTACTGTACCATATCGGTATTTCGGTGTACCGTTTCAAACCGGTATTGTAATCAATACCGTAATACCGAAAATTATTTTCAATACCGTCAGCCCTAAATTAAGCACATATTATTATTAATATAATTAATTTAACTGAAATACATATTATGCATCACTGTATTTATAATTATTTCTATATAAATATTTTATAAAATATATGTAAATACCTATTTAGCAAAATTTGAGTTTTTTATATCTATATTTTAATTTTCAACATTGTAATATACAAAAATATTGATATTTTATAAAATTATAAAAAAAATTCTATAAATACTWAAATAATCTAAAATAAAATAACATATTAATGTCACGCTAAGTTAAATTAAAAGATAATTTTAAATTTTTATGGCATGAAATATTGTGCATAAGTTTATTGTGTYCAAGGAGTATAATAATGATGATAATAATATATTTAGTATAATAATATTGATTTAACTTGCAACAACAATCAATATTGACAATATTGTATCTTGGTTCGTAGTATTATTTATGGATTACTTATATTACACCATCGAAAAAGATCATACACTAACAGTTTATGATATTCACCACCAGGGTACCGTTACGTTCCCCCACCAAAAAATGTTCATAAAAAAGCTGGATGCTTTTTAGACTTTCGTTTTCAGTCCATAACATTTTAGTTCGTGGTTCATACAAAACTTACTGTGAACAATAAATAACAAGTTATATAACAACGATTATGATAACATGCGACGGACTGAATTATTTTAGTGTTATCAACTGACAACKGCGTAATACAAATAATGCCTCATGTTCACTTAGTTTACTAGTAGTGAAGTATTGTAGACCCGGTAGAGTTTAAAATGTTCCCGTCAGATAGACCAGGGAGAAATGTTCCTGTCAGGTAGTAATGGAGCAAACCAGGAAGAGTTTACCATTGAGAAAGTTTAATGCTATTAAAATCGGGAGAGTTTACAATCGCCCCTACCGCACACAAATATAAACGTACATTTTGCACATGGTGAATAAAACTTTAAATTGAAATCTGGTTTTAATATAGCCCAGTAATAATTTCAGTTTATCTGTTCCAGCTACATCATATTTTTTTTAATTTTAGTGTCCG